CCTTAACGAGATGCCATTGATGCCTAAAGCAAGTGGCTTAGTCTTCAGCCTATAACAAGAGAGTAAAAAGTGAAATATGCAGAAACGTGAACTGATATCTCAACCATCAAAGCATTATGGGATGGTAATATCCTCAATTCTGTGTGTCCTCATCCTAGACAGCTTAACATCCTTTTCCATCTCCTGTCTTCCTTCCACGTCCACACCCATAAAAGTAGGCTGAAATAATATCCCTAAAATGAAATTAAGCAGGTGTGTGTGTCTCTGTGTGTGTGTGTGTATGTATGTGTGTGCATGTGTGCGTGCGTGCGTGCGTGTGTGCATGCGTGTGTGTAGATTACCTTGTATTTAGATTTATTTCAAGTTTGTGATGGCTTATTTGTCACTTGAGATTTTGCTGTGAATACTGATATAAAGAATGCAGATCTTTCTTGTACTGGATTTCCTGCAATTCATTCATTCCATGACAGAAACTACACCTTTGTGATAATCTGGGAAAACTGTAGTTGTTGCAGTTTGGCAGTTGCACCACTTATAATACACACCCAAGCTGTGGTGCTTCTTCTTTCTATGTTTTAATCTAGTGTAGGTGCCAGAAGCACAAACAGTTGTTGGCTGTTTGGTACTTCCCCTGTCACTGCCCCCACCACTCCACACCAACATCAGGTGGCCTCAGCTTTCTAGGGCTTTGGGTTAATGGCTACCAAGCACACTGGAGGCGCATCAGGCAGTGAGGAGGGAGGAATGGAAGAAGATGTGTTGCCCCTGCAGTGGGAGTGGGTTGTGCCACTGCAACAGGGAAGGAGGAGGACAGAGAGAGGGAAGGAAAAGAAATGGAATCATTCTGCGTGAACCCCTGAGAGGAGTGCTTTAGACTTAGAATAGAGATGGAGAAAAGGCATCTCACAGCTGTTTTTATTTCTGCACCCCTGCCCCAGATGTCCCCATTTTATACCCCTGATCAAAATGTAATTCAAAAACAAATTCTGCCCAAACTTGTCCATTTCTTCCCAAGAAGCCTACAGCAGTGGTTGTTTTCCAGTAAGGAGGGTGCACATCTCCCCCTTACCGCCCACCGTCAAACCCAGAACTGGAATTCCAGCTCTATTCAGTTTTGATTCCTTCATAGTATTTGCTCAGGAAGGGTGCCACTGTAGCACCTGCTAAGTCATGGGGTGAAAATAGATCGGTCTTCTACTTTCCCGTTTTGGCCACTACACTTTAAAGCCAACATTTCTGCGTGTGAGGGTGAGGGGCTATTTTTGCAGCTTGTCAATTTATGTTATTACACACGAGAGCCAAGCAAACATCACACAGGCACACAGCCTTCGGAAGAACAAACAAGTTTGGCCAAAGACATTTTGGTGCCTCAGGAAAAGGACAAGATGGTGCTCTCTCCTCATTCTACACAGAGAAGCTGACTGGGTGAGAGCTCAACGCTTCAGGACTGCTGATGGGATCTCATCCTCCATTACCCTGGAGGCTGCAAGACAGCTTTGGAGGCCCAGGACAGGTTGCACAACATTGCATGGCTCTCTCTTTTGACAGAAAAATGGTGGCTGAAGAGAATTGTGTCATGAGAATGGAGAAGATGTTTCTCGCATAAATGTTTTCCAAGGAAAATATCAATTTCACAACTCCTGAGACAGGCAATGTGAATAGGTTCATCTTGCCTTTGGAACACACACATTTTAAGGCTTGCAGTGGGTTTCAGAGAAGAAAAACATTTGCACAGATCCATTTGTGTCATTGAAAATTGTGCACCGATAAATATGGATCTACCTGAAAAAAAGCTGCACAGATACACTTTAATCATTGTGAAATGAATGGGGGGGAAAGGGTACAGGGGACACACACAAAAACAAACACATGTTTCTAGGCACAAAGTGTGAAAAACAAAAGTCTTACAACCCAATATAAAACTTTGGAATAATAATAATTAATACTATAAAACAAACCCTGCCAGCCTCAAACAAAATGGGACTGATATGTTTTTACATTTCTGTTCAGGACTATTAGCTACGAAGCTACAGAGCTGAGAAAAGCTACTTTTTGAGTAAACCCCTGCAACCTGTCCCAGCTAATATGGTCATCATTAAAAGAAGGGGGGGGGAAGTAATATTTCACACTGTCTAAGCAACCAGAGCTTAGAAATAATTAGTTGCAGATGATGTAATTACTAAGATCTAGTTGCTTTTTGGTTAATGAGCAATGTAACTAGAAGATACGACATTATTTTAGGTGTAATGAATGAAATGGAAGTGATTTAAGTGAAATGAATCACACCTACCAACATTCCACAGATACCTTTGAAAGTAGAGATGGGGAAGACTCACCATTTTGGCAAGTTGTCCTGCTTTGTGATTCGTCAAAGATCATGAAGCATGAAGCTCCCCCCCCCCATGAACCAAAGAAGCATGAATTTATTTTTTGATTTGTGGGGAGTGTTTACTTTAAAAAAAACACTGACTCTGCCAATGTCCTTCCGCCATCCCCTCCAACGCTTCCCCACTGTAATCACCACTGCCGTCTCCAGCTGGTTTCCACAGCCATGGTCGGTAGAAAGAGACAATGCCGCCCTTTGCAAAGATGGCAGCTGCGGCTTCATCTGTGGAGATGGGAAGATGCTGTTTTCTTCCTTTCCCGCTGGAGCGCTTCCCAGAGATTTCTGATTGGCCATGGTGGGAATGGGAATGCTGGACAACACCTTTGACCTCACCTGAAAGCACATTCCTTTTGTCCACTGACGCAGAATGAATATAGCCAATTTCATAAAAGCCTGTTCTGAAACCAGGTTTGCTCTGGAACCTATTGAAAGGTCTCGGCACCTCTTTCTTCCTCACACAGGTCCGAAGCCTGGAGCAACAGAACAAGGCCCTTGAAACCAAGTGGAGTCTCTTGCAAGAGTATGCTCTGCCGGCCAGGAAGAACCTGGAGCCCTATTACGAGAATTTCATCAGCAACATGAAGAAAGAAATAGACTATTTATTAAGTGAGAGAGAAAACCTAGCAAGAGAAAATGATGCTGTTCAACACCTTGTTGAGGAACTCAAGAGCAAGTAATTAAGTAGATGCTTCTTTTTACTCTTCCCTTTCTTTGATTGCTATTGTTGTTGTGAGCACCGGTGGCAGCAGCTCTAGGGGTATACAGTAGTTCTAATATTACAGAGCAGTAAATGGTTATGGACCAAGCCAGGTGGAGCACCTCACCCTAAAATTTATTGAGGCGTTTACCTTGGTCATGAGGTGCCTGAAGTGCAAGAGACCTCTGAAGTCTTCAGCTGATATAAGTGGGTTTGACTGATTCCCTTTGCGAAGTGTTTTAGAAATACCTAGCAACTGTCTTTGTTAAAAGAAGGAAATAGGAACATGTAAGAGCGTATCAGCTTGCCAATTAGCTGATTTGTGGGCTAGTAGGCAGAATGGGAAAGCTATAGGAAGAGAGGGAAGGCTATCCTTCTTGTGGGGACTTATTCATCCCCTTCTTCGTACGGGGCATGAATAGAAATGGGGAAATATTCATTCTTTTCTATTCGTGGGGGTCTCTGGAACACACGAATATGAAGGGACAGATATTTAATGAATCAGCAATTTCTGACAAATATCACGATCCATTATTTTTATTCGTCCCAATGTCTATTTGAAAGGTTTCTAAGGACAATTTAGAGGTTTTCTAACAGAACATTTTCTGCTGTTACGCTATTGTCTTAGCAATTTGAAGTGGTATGGGAAATATTTTGTCTTTGTATTTTTATAAATATTTCAAGTTGCAGCAGCAGCACTGGCCAGCAGAAGGAATTAGAGACAATTTCCCTCTATTTTTCTGGCCTGTTGGTAAGGTCTGTTCAATGTATCAATGACATGGAACACAAATAATTTCTTACACAGTCAGAGCATGTAAAGGTCACAACAACCTCTTTACAAAGAGGTAATGAGTAACATTACCTGATTCTTTTTAAAATATACTGTCCTGAACTTGCTAGTATCTGCTGTCCTTTCATTATCTGCTGGCTGATGTGATTGCCTCATTTTGACTCACAACTGAACTGTCTCTGAAAAGAAACCACATACTTACTGGCCATTTTACTAACAAAGTTTGGGACAATTCTACATAATTTATATGTATCCATTTGGAATATAGGGACGTGGTGGCACTGCGGGTTAAACTGCTGAAGCCTCTGTGCTGCAATGTCAGAAGACCTGCAGTCGTAAGATCGAATCCATGCGACGGAGTGAGCCCCTGTCCCAGCTCCCACCAACCTAGCAATCTGAAAGAGTGCAAAATGCAAAAATGTGAGTAGATAAATAGTTACCACCTTGGTGAGAAGGTAAATGGCGTTCCGTATCTAGTCACACTGGCCACGTGACCACAGAGGACTGTCTGCGGACAAACGCTAGCTCTATAGGTTGGAAACAGAGATGTGCACCACGCCCTAGAGTTGGACACAACTGGCCAAATTGTCAAGGGGAACCTTTACTTTTTATTTGGAATATGGATGGCTAAACTGATGTTTAGAGAAACAGGGATAACAAAAAATGACTCCCTGAACAACAGCCAGGATTTGCAATTATGTAGAACTCAACTGCCCTTAGTATATTATCTGTGGTCAACAAAAGAGGAAGACTCTCTTCCATAACTTTCTCTAAATTATAATTAAGGCAAGCAAGAGAAATGGTTATCAAGTGTAATATCCTCCAAGCAGAGCTTGCTAACTAAGCAATTCCTTTAAAAATTCTCATTGTTTCTTAAGTTTGTGTTTACTATAATGACTTGTACACTGAAAAAGCATTCCTGGGCCTGAGGCAGACCAAACCTGTGAAGGCTCATAAATTAAGATGCTAAGCCAATCATGACCAGCTTTTCAACTCTATATAAGTGTTGGCTTCAAGGTTGTAGAGGGTGGCTGTCTCTGTTTTTTTCTCTCTCTCTTTCTCTCTCTCTCTCTCTGTGTTTCTCTTGCATCTGCTTCTTTGGAACCAACCCAGCCCAACTTGCCACAATGACTCAACAGATATTTGCTGCAAGAATGGGAGGAAGGGGATTCAGTTCTGCCTCTGCTGCGTGTGGACTAGGCGGGCGCAGAACCTATGTTGCCTCCATACGTCAACCAGTCAGAAACGGATATGGGATCCATGGCTTCGGCAGCCGGAGTCTTTCCAGTCTGGGTGGAAACAGAAGAATTTCTTACGGTCGTTACGGCGCTGGATGTTATGGCAGCTGCAACTACGGGCATGCAGGTTATGGTGGTCTGGGCTTTGGGGGCATGGTGGCTCATTATGGCCCTGGGATTGGAAGTGGTGGGCCTTTTGGAGGATACTCCAACTCCAGGGGTGATGGAATCCATGGAGTCAGGATCAATGAGGATCTCCTGAAGCCTTTACAAGTGGGAGTGGACCTACAGGAACAAGAATTCCGAAACCGTGAGAGGGAAGAAATGAAGGACCTCAACAATCAGTTTGCCTGCTTCATTGATAAGGTGAGGCAAAATAAATGCTTGCTACCTGAACTGAAGGAAAAAGGTGGGCCAAGGCCATGATATGTATAATGAATTGTATGGAATTCATGAGCATGCAATTGTGTGTTCTCAGGCCACTAACCAGTGGGACCTGTAGTGCATGGTTCTGATGCACATCGGATTACGCACCTGTGTTGAAGTACAAAGGAATGAAAGGGAAATTTCACGAACACTTTCTTCGAACTAAATTTTATGAAAAAGTTGGATCAATAAGTTCCTGGTTTGGGCTTTTACAACATACTAGGTTTTGTATAATGTTGAATTTCAGAGGTTTTGGAAACATTGTGTCAGTCTTAATTCCATTATAGTTAATTAGGATTGCATCCCACGGAAATAAATAGGACTTACGTTATAGCTCAGTAGCTTAGATATCTGGCTACAGAGCCAGAGGGAGTTCAATAACCTCTTTTAACACCATCTATGAGAAGATCCAGCCTGTGTTGCCTTGGGCAAGCTGCATAGTCCCAAGACTCACCCCACCCCAGGAGAAGAGAATGGGAAACCACTTCTGAGTATTCTCTACCTGGGAAACTCTGAAAAGGGTCACTATACGTCAGAATTGACTTGACAATGCATGAAGAAAAGAAAGTTATGGTTACAACTAATTTTTCCTTTAAATTTCCTTGGAACATAACCGTTGTAAGGAGCCATTATGGGTTGAAAGCCAATTGTTCCACTTCTCAGATTTAATACATGTGCACGATTTTTGTACCAGTTCTTAGCTTGATATAGCTGCCACCTCTGGGAGTATCTTGTAGGGAAAGAATGGACCTGAAATCTTACATCTTCCTGGCCACTCCTGTCTAGGAACACAAATATTTTCTTGCTTTAATATCACAGGTGAGAATGACAAATGTAAGTTGTTTTCTCCAGGTTGATCAAGGTTATGAGAGTTTTTATGCATAATGGATTTCAGGACTTTTTTGTTTTAAAAAAATTAGAACCAGCTTCTGAAAACATAAACATGTTTTTGTATTTTATTAAAAAGAGAGAGAGAGCCTAAAATATCCTTGCATTTTGAACAGAAAATGCATTTTATACAAAAACTTCTATTTTGCCCAAAATACACATCTTCTGCACAAAAGCACATTTTCTTTTCATTATGCTACTGTGTGCCCTGCCACCCTTTTTCATTGAGAAAATTTGTATTTGTTACATCGTTACTCCTGACCCAGCCTCCCTTGCCATATCATGGGCCATGACAGTATATAAGCCAATATTTACCCACTGCTCCAGCTGCTTTTGCCCTTTTGCTGGGCCTAGCAATCCAATCTCTGGTGAGTCTGTTTTGGCTGGTAGGAATTGTTGCCTTCCTTTTTTTGCTGAAATGTTTTGGTTGGGAGAGTGTTTTGCTTTTCCTGCTTGGTAGAGGACCAGAAAGGGAATCAGAAACAATCAGCTTGATGGTACCATTGAATAGCTGGTGATGCTAGTGGGCAGCATGGATGTGTGGAGCGATGCCCAGTTGGCAATGAGGAAAGGTTGGAAGACCTGTCAGATCAGCACAAGTCCATCATACTACCCAGTTTGTCTTTCTTTTCTCCTGAATCCAGTTCCTGTAGTAGCCCCAAATCTGATCTGGAGGCCCTACAAAGTATGCAGCACTGGGCACTCTATTTCACTCAAGGGGGAGCTTCTGACTGAATAATTCTGCATCTATATATTAATTTATTGGATGCACTTCTGGACCTTCATGAGACATGCTGAGAGGGAGGTTCCTAAGCTTCTGGTTCCTAGACCTTTCTTACATCATTTGTGACATTCTTACTAGAAGGGAATTGGATATAATGGGAACTGGATTTTTTAAAGTATTTAAAGCATATTGTTGTCACATGTTGAGCCCATGATGTTTTGCTACAAAGGCACAAGTCGCAGGCCACTGTACCTATCAGCTACCTAGCACAGCATTTGAACGTGTGTACAATTAAACATTCTGAAATTTCTCATTCCACCTTGCTCCAAATGGAAAAGGTCCATTGCCTAGCAGGAAACCTGCATTTATCTATTATATTATATNNNNATTACATTACATTACATTACATTACATTATAATACACTTTGACTATATCAGGTTTTAATAGCTCTGTTAATAAACACTTGAGTGTTCTAAGATGATGATGATGATGATGATGATGATGATGTTTGTAGGCATTACTAGGTAACTGAATGCATTGATGCATTCTAAGAGACTAGGAGTCTCCTTTGTCAGATATCATTTCCCCCTTTACTATATGTGCTGCACAAATTAACATAGTTTCCCCCACAGAAATGAATGAGGATCCGATGCACAAAGGCAGTCTGTTTTCCATATTCCTTGTTTCATTGTCTGAAATTCTCTTGCTTAGCAACTAGAGTAGGCCCACTGAGTCAGTGGGGATATGGTGAGTCGTTCTTGTTCCATTGATTCCATGGACCTACCCACTGTAACATAATAATTAACAATAAATCTGGAGAGAGAAGAGAATTCCTGGCTTCTATCTGCTGGTTCCGATTTTGTTTTCCCTTGTGAGAAAACAAGAAATCCTTTCATACCTGGAAATGCAGTTACACATTTGAGACTAAACAACAATGCATGTTAAGTGTGGTGTGCTTGCACAGGCATGGACAGAGGTATGAAGCCATATCTCCATCTCTCCAAAGACTAGAACCAGGATAGGAGTGTCAATATTCATTTCTTTCTTGCAGGCAAGAATTTAAAAATTCTGAAGTTTTTGCCTGCTGGGCAAAAACCACACATTATAAGAGCTTTTTGAGCATTCTTTTCATTTCAGCAGCCTTTTTGCCAGAAAATTCCAGGAGAGTTTTCCTGCACAAAATTCTGTATTTTGCACTGAAAACTTGGACAAATATCTTGTTGCCTAAAAGGGAAATCACAGAAGCATGCCTGTCCCTTTGGCAAGCTTCCATTATGAGATCAGTTTCAGGACCAATATCACAGCCGCTGGCAAGAATAGTCAACCAACATAAAGTCTCCCAGAGCGGAAGATGAACTCCTATGGGTTTTTCTTCTACATTTTGTTAGCAGGATTGCAAATTTCCAGAGTATGGATGATGGGGGAATGTACCAGTCTTTTCACTCTTAGGGAGCTGCAAATGTTTTCACTACTGCTATAATAGAATGCATTGATATCTTAAGACACTCTATTCCCTTGGGAACCCAAAAATCTGTATTTGTTACACTTTCATCTCAGCATCACCCAATGAAGTTGTTTTAAGATATGTTGGTATCTTAGGTAAGGCACAAAAAGACCAAAGGCGTAACCCACCAACATTTCTCCCACACAAGCTTAACTGAAGAAGGGTCTGGAGTGGTCGTATAGACCAGATGGGCGGGGTATAAATCAAATCAAATCAAATCAATCAATCAATAAATAAATAAATACAACCTCCTTTGTTTTGATTCCACCAACTGGTGTTGAGACTAGCAGGCCTTTGGCTAGCTAGCCATGACAAATGTACAGCTGCCACAACATACTGAGACAAGACAGGTGTCTCAAGGTATATTATTATCATAGATGATGTGCAATTGTGATGTCTGGCCCCAGTCTTTCAGGGGAACAGGCTCTCCACCCTGCCCCCAAGTAGAGAATAAGTATGTTCTTCCTCAAGGCTGATGCACATCCATAAATAGGTACTGGGTGTGACTAAGTGGGCCCTGCATTTAGGGCGAGAGGTAGATACACTCCTCTTCTCACAGCTATGCTACAGGTGTGGGTTGTTTCCCTTCTTTCCCTTCCTTCTTACCTATTCCGTTCCCTACCAGGTGCACAAAGAGACAGTGCCCATCCCAAGAGATGGTGCTCTCATCTTGTGTTAGGAGTGGTGGTGGAAGAGAGGTTGTGCTGCTTCACACAGGGCATTTGAGACATGCCATCGTTAAAACGATGGCATTTGTTATCACAAGATATGATAATGACTACCAACATGTGTGTATGTCTGTGCTTGCGTGCACATATGTGTGCTGTCAAGTAAATTCTGACTTATATGGTGACCCCTTTCAGGGTTTCCCAGGTAGAGAATATATGGAAATTATTCTACCATTTCCTGCTTCTGGAGGTGCCCTGGAACTGTGCTCAAGGCTCCACAGGCTGGCTCTTCTCATAAATGGTGTTAAAAGAGGATGAGACTAACTTAGGGAAGATAAGGCTACCACTGGCTGCTAAACATGCAGGCGACACATTTCCTTGTGACTAACAGTCAACAGAGACACACTGGTCTGCACAGCAGCTGAGGAACAGAAGTGGGAAGATGCTGTTTTCTTCCTTTCCTGCTTGAGCGCTTTCCAGAGATTTCTGATTGGCCATGGTGGGGATGGGAATGCTGGACAAGGCCTTTGACCTCACCTGAAAGCACGTTCCTTTTGAACACTGACGCAGAATGGATATAGCCAATTTCACAAAGGCCTGTTTTGAAACCATGTTTGCTCTGGAACCTATTGAAAGGTCTCGGCACCTCTTTCTTCCTCACACAGGTCCGAAGCCTGGAGCAACAGAACAAGGCCCTTGAAACCAAGTGGAGTCTCTTGCAAGAGTATGCTCTGCCGGCCAGGAAGAACCTGGAGCCCTATTACGAGAATTTCATCAGCAACATGAAGAAAGAAATAGACTATTTATTAAGTGAGAGAGAAAACCTAGCAAGAGAAAATGATGCTGTTCAACACCTTGTTGAGGAACTCAAGAGCAAGTAATTAAGTAGATGCTTCTTTTTACTCTTCCCTTTCTTTGATTGCTATTGTTGTTGTGAGCACCAGGGGCAGCAGCTCTAGGGGTATAAGTAGTAATAGTTGTAATATTACAGAGCGGTAAATGGTTATGGACCAAGCCAGGTGGAGCACCTCACCCTAAAATTTATTGAGGCGTTTACCTTGGTCATGAGGTGCCTGAAGTGCAAGAGACCTCTGAAGTCTTCAGCTGATATAAGTGGGTTTGACTGATTCCCTTTGCGAAGTGTTTTAGAAATACCTAGCAACTGTCTTTGTTAAAGAAGGAAATAGGAACATGTAAGAGATTTTATTTTATTTTTTCTTGCTATATCATTCACCTCCCACCACCACAGTTTTATTTTAAATTCCTTGTGAGTTGGAGACAAATGATCCTATAAAACAGTGGTTCTTAACCTTGGGTTACTCCCAGAAACCCCAGCCAGCACAACTGGTGGTGAAGGCTTCTGGGAGTTGCAGTCCAAAAACACCTGGGTAACCAAGGTTAAGAACTACTGCTATAAAAGATGGTAAGGCATTGATATTGGCCAGAATCCTAGTATGTTTTTATACTGGGTTAATCCAAATGGTATGAATCTCAGCATTGAATACCGTAAGTCAGTATAAGAATTTGGTGTTACACAACCAGCTGCACAACAGCAAATGTCTAAGATGATTTATTATCTTTTGGCAACAAACTGCTGAGATTTACACCAATTGTGTCATACCTGGGGGGCACAGCTTATAGGATTCTACCCAGTATCTCTTTCAGTACACTTCCTTCTTTCCTTCCTCCCTTCCTTCCTTTTCAAATGTAGCCCTGTAAATTTATCAGTAGGACCAGTCATGGGATATGCTTGTGATACAAGCATCAATTCTTCTCATACTAACTTCATTTCTATTTTTACCATCTATGTATGTATGTATGTATGTCCGTCCGTCCGTCCGTCCGTCCGTCCGTCCGTCCGTCCGTCCGTCCGTCCGTCCGTCCGTCCGTCCGTCCGTCCGTCCGTCCGTCCGTCCGTCCGCAATCTAGCTATCTATCTATCTATCTATCTATCTATCTATCTATCTATCTATCTATCTATCTATCTATCTATCTATCTATCTCACTCGTCTTCCATAGCAGCTTGCAGTTTGATTATGAAAGCTTTGGGAGATACTTTCAAGACACATTTGCTTCCAATGTGTGAAAGTCTACTTCTCAAAGTTACCAACATTCAAAAAGTGACAAGTGTTGTTGAACCCTGGCTTCTTCACACAATAATAGCAAACCTTAAACCATAATGCTGCAGGACAGGACAAAAAAAAGACAAAAATGCAAATAACCTTCAGACAATATAACAGACCCATGATTTGTTATAGTTTTATTATCTTGATAAAGGAAAAAAAAGAAGTAACTTATAGAATAACCTTTGGGAAAGAATAAGATGCTATCCTTGCATTCTCAACAAGCTCTACATTTGTGTGGAATCTTCCTCAAAGCACCAGTCATTTCTTTACTTGGTGAATTACTAGCATCTTTGTTCTTCAAAGTTTGCATCTCTTGCTTCAATGAAATAAGTACAAATTATGCATAAACATATTAGCAATGTTGTAAAGCTGGAAAAAAAAGTCCTATGATTTCTCTGAAGTTGCAGAAGAAGAAAATCTGGTCCGTGTTCATTCTCAGAGCAAAATGTGTCACAGCAGAGAAGGCCAGAGGGATTTAGAATTAGCCCTTCCTTACAAAACATCAAGCAATCCTTAATAACCTGCTTTACGTTGTTCCATGGTGATGCTATCTTTCTGACTTCATATAATTCATTCTGTGTGGTGCTTGTGAGCTGCATATCACTTTTCCATATTCCAACAGATACGAAGAGGAATTCAAAAGGCGTACGGCTGCAGAAAATGAATTTGTGTTGCTCAAGAAGGTAAGATGAATCCAATTCAGTGTCTCAGATATGAAGCACAAAGTTCAGAGCACTTTGTTTATGTTGGGTGCCAACTGGAGGACCAGGTTACCTATTTAGTATACGGTGAGACCAAGGATGCAGCCTCCTACCTTTGACTACCTACCTGGCCATTTCCTACATTAGAGGCACCCCTTCAGACAAGAAGAAGCAGCTGGTCCCATCTGCTCAGAATGGAGTCTGCTAGTTGAGGAGTGGCACCTTCCACTGTTGCTTTTGACTTGACTGGTTTCTAAATTGCATTGTTTGGGAACATCATAAGGATCAGATCAAACACCTTCCTTCTTTGTCATAAGTTGCCTTGCTCATCAGGTAAGGGAAGATTGTTCCATCTCTGTTTCCCCACCAGTTCGCTAACAGCTCATTCTGTCAAAGGGAGAGTCCTCAGGCTTAGGTCCTCTGTGTTACTGAACTGTACATCTTGAGCTTTGATAAGAGATAATGGCTAGAACTCTTAATGGAGTTCACGAAACATTTGTGTAAGATTTGTGACTTAGAGAAAAAATACCAGGTACATTTCAAGGTATGGGCCCACTGGAAACTTAAATTGATTCCTGTTCTGACTTTTTTTATATATCAGGTTCAAATCACATGGTATATAAATCAGTAGCTGATTTGACTTTGACTGAAATCAATTTATTTCTTGTAATTTAAAACAGTTCTGGCTGGTGAAATTGCTTCATTTCTTTTCTGTTTTAGGAACATGCTTTTCAGATATAATTTGTCTTCTTTTTTTAAAGTGGCACGGAAATTGATGGCTGTACTCATCTGACAAAAAAACCTTTCACCATTATAGTGCATTAAGTGATGCATCACTAAATGTTTGTATAAGATTTTTTTTAAAAGGAGAAGAAAACATCAATAGGATTTTGGCCAATATATGTCAGATACATAGATACAGATATATATCTTATAAGTGTAAAAGACTAAAGTAAGTCTGTTGTTTTGTTTTGTTTTGTTTTTTTGGCCAGCCATTCCTGACAAGACTCACAAGAAAAGACAACATTGCTAAGACAACTGGAAGGTAGTAGGAAAAGAGGAAAACCTAACGTGAGATAGATTGACTCATTTTAGGTGGTAATTAGAAATAAACATGAATTGCTGGTTCAGCGATTTGTGCTGCTTCATCCTTCAGACAAAGAGGTGTTTGATGCTTCTCAGCCCCACTTTCTCCAATGGCCGCCCATTCAGAGGCAGTGCCTTGGCTTCCCTGCCCCACCTCCTCCAGCTGCTGCCTCTAAGTAGGCCCACACTGGAGGGGTGGAAAGTGCTGATCAACCAAGAGATGAACCAATGTGAACTGACGAACCAGTGATTCATGCCCATCTTTAGTAGCTATAGCTTTTATTATGCAAACCTGGGTAGGGCTCTTAATGAGAGAACCATTTTTCGTAAGTCAGAAACAACTTGGCCGCACATAACACTAAATCTCCCTGAGACCAGATTTCTGAAGGTTCTTTTATCCACGTTTCTCTTTTACATGGCCAACATTCTTAGTCAAACTGAAATGGAATGAAATTATGCACAAGTTTGATTGTTCAACTAATCTCAGTATCCAAATTTGTTCTTAACATTCAAGGATTATCTGCTTTGACTGCCTAAATGAACTCATATTAACATAAAGTTTACTGGGTCACATTGCTTAGCTGTTATCACATACTGTCAAAAACTTTTATTTTCTGTTCAAAAACTGTCAGATGTTACTCTTTGTTTCAACCAAAAAAAACAACAACAGAGCATCATTTTTTAAATCATTGCCTTAGCCTGTTCTGAGGACTTTGTGACTTCTGAGCTGCAACTGGCTTTCCCAGCATTCCTGCAGCGACATCATCAGTGCTTCAAAAATTATTTTGTTCTCTTCAGGATGTAGACTCAATTTCTCTGAGCAAGACACAACTGGAGGGAAAAGTAGATTTACTGTGCCGAGAACTGGAGTTTCGCAGACATATTTATGCAGAGGTAAGAAGAACAGCATAGTCTTAAATATAGAGATTTGCAGGTTGAGAAGAATGGAAATATGCCCTATGGATTTCAAGAACTGGGATACAGTCCACAAAAACATACGCTGAGTAAAATGTGTTAGTCTTTAAGTTACCTTGTTGTTTTTGCTGCTACAGATTAACACAGCTGACTCTCTGGAAATAGGACCAGGCAAATTTTATTACTCACCATGTTAACCATCGTGAGAGCCTGCCAGAGATTTGCAGAAATAATCATTGTTTTGCAAGCGGAAAGTACCAGATAGAGAATATGTACCCAATTATGACTTCTTCTTTGTCCCACTAACTGCAAAAAGGGGGTGTCAGGCAGAAATGGAGACTGCGATATGCAGGCATAAGAAAATTAGAGGGGGTCCCTACAGAGGTGCCCCCAGTTGCATCATAAATGCTTCTCCTATATGGCTTGATTTTCTTCATCCAGGAACTGCACATGAAGCTGGGTCAAAATGTCTTAGATGAAAAAGATGTTACAGAATTTTCTCTGAATAATCTCTCTCTCTCTCTCTCTCCCCTCTCTCTCTCTCTCTCTCTCTCTCTCTCTCTCTCTCCCTCTTGGACAAATTACTTAAAAAAAGGAAAGAAAGGGGAGAGAAAAAAACACCTCTCACAATCCCCCAGCTAGCATGGGCACAGGTCTTCTTGGAACCATAGTGGAGAAATCCTTAAGGGGTGGAGGAAGCTACGCCACTACACCAGTAACACTGAATCCCCATTCCCCGGAAATTGCTAGACAATTTCTCCTGCCCCTGAGGGGATTCTGTGAAATGGTCTCCTACTCCTTTCTCTGTCCACAGATAACAGTGGGAGATTTTTGCACACTCTTTCTCCTCAGTGGTGCCAAAAGAGTGAGGAAGGTTTCTTCTCTCCAGAGCTGAGGAAAAACTGGGCAGAATCAGAGTCTCTGGGAAGAGTCTGTTGTAATTAAAACATTCTTAAAAAGAAAAGGAGGAGAGCTTATTAAAAGATCAAGAGTAGAGTTGTTGAAATCAGCAGATAGTTGCATGTGGCTGCATTTTTCACTGTATCTGCAGTTTTTGGAGAACTGTATTTTGACAGGGTGTACTCTCAGGGTTAAGTGGCGTAAGAACTGTGCATTTGTATGAAGGTGAGAGCAAAATCACAGAGCATATGTTTAATACCAGAACTAAGCCAGGGACGGTTGCTATAGTTGTCATCATTATCATTTGCTGCTCCTCCTCCACCTCCTCTTCCTGCTGCTGCTGCTACTACTGTTATGATTCATCTTCAAGGACATGCAGAATGCTTCCCCCCATTCACTGCTAAATATCCACAGCCATCTTCTGCCCCTTTGGCCCTAACTTCCAGTTTTGAATTCCTGTTTGCAAGAGAGATGTTTTATCCACTAACCCTGGGTGGCTGTTCTGTGCTTGCAGGAACTGGCGCAACTTGACAGCCAGGTCGGTGATGCGAAGATCCTTTTGCAAATGGACAACAGTCGAGACTTGGACCTTGACTTGATTCTTAGAAACGTTGATGCTTGGTACCAGAGCATTGCCCAGAGGAGTAAAGAAGAAGCAAATGCTTTCTATGAAAACAGAGTAAGTTGGGGACACTGCTATATAGGCTATATTTTTAAGCATGGATAGACTTACTATTGAGCCACTCCTCTTCTCCTGATCTATGACCTCTTGGTGAAGTCAGCATGTGCCAAGCCTGCACAATTGGCTGATGAGAGTGTCTGGGTGTCAACTGCCTAGGGAAACACTGGAGAAAGTGGGGTCTAGTTTTCCCAGAACTGCTTCCTACATTTCCGATTTGCATACCAGTAGTGAATGGAGAATGGAAGAATTGCTGCTGAATTGACCACAGGCTTTACCATGAGATAAATGTGAGACTAGGAATTTTTCCAGAAATGTTGCCGATACCATCTTTGGCCTTGATTTAGGAAATGCCTGTGTTTGTTATTCTACCTGTCCCTCTCTGAGCTTTATGCAATACCTTCCCTGACTGCCACAGTTTTCAATGCCTTCCATTCATTTGCATCACCTCCCCTCCAATACGCTTGCCAACTAATAAAACACTGGGGGTAGCAGGACCCATCTCTGCCTTGCTGAAACCTGCTGGACCATTGATGATGAAGACCGAAGGGGACTCGTCCATCTGGAACCACACCCACCCTGTGGAGACATTGGTTCCACTACTGCCAGTGTTCGCTTCTCTCACAGCTTGCTTGTGTCCTGGAAGAGGCCTTCCCTCTGTGGAAACAGTGCTCTGACAGGGCCTACTAACCTTACTTGAAGAATGCTGTGAGAGTAACTAAACCCCAGCAAAGGGGGACAGACAAACTGGATGAGGGATGCAGAAACCACTGTCTTGGGTTGGGGAGTTGTACCAAAGCTAAGTCAACTCTGAGTCTTGGTCTCCACTCTAATTCTGGTGCTGTTGAATGTCAGGTCTGTATCCAATAAATCCCAGACTATCCAAGACCTTATTCTGGAGGAGGATGCAGACCTGGCATGCATAACCAAAACTTGGATGGGCAGGGAAGGGGTTGTTCCCTTGACTCTTGCCTGTGCTCCCAGTTATGCAGTCCAGCACCAGGGTAGACTGGAGGGGTGGGGTGGAGAGTAGCCATTGTTTATAGAAACATGCTGGAGTTTGCTAGATGCTCTATGGTGGTGAAGCCGGGTCTGGAGGCCCTCCATGTGTCTATTAGAGCCAGAGATGGTGTTGGGATTTTGCTAGGTTACCACAGTCCCCGCAATCCAGCCATTTCCTTACCAGAGCTGGCGGACTTAGTCTCCGTGGCACTGTTGGACTCTCTGAGACTTCTGGTCTTGGGTGATTTCAACATCCATGCGGAGGCGGAGATTTCTGGTCCAACTCTTGAGTTCTTGGAAACCATGGCTTCCTTGGACATGTCCCAACATGTTGACGGCCCCACCCACGTGGGTGGTCACATGCTAGACCTGGTGTTCTCCACTGTGTAGAGTGAGTGTGGTCAGATGGCAACTGACCTTGTGTCAGTTCCCTTGTCATGGGAGTGAGTGTGGTCAGATGGTAAATGACCTTGTGTCAGTTCCCTTGTCATGGTTGGATCACCAACTAATAAAATGTAACCTCTCACTGGCTGTCCCTCCCTGCAGGGAGCAAAGATTTATTTTAATGGTCTGCCCTCAAAGGCTGCTGGATCCTATAGGATTCCAGGACTTCATGAGAGGGATTCGGGCTGATCTGACTGGCGCTCCTGTCAAGGCTCTGGTTGATGGCTGGCTTGCTGCCGCCCCCAGGGCTGTTTACACGATCACTCCTAAATGCCCTCTCTGGCATAGAGCTCAGCCTGTGCCCTCGTTTAACCAGGAGCTACAAGCTGTGAAGCAAAAGAGGAGAAGGCTAGAGTGCATTTGGACATGGAACCCGATGCATTATAATCAGAAAGCTGGCAGTATTACAACTAACCATTACCTTACTAAGGTGAGGGCTGCCAGTCGAGCTCACTTCACTGTCCGGATAAGTCAAGCATCAAATCAGCAGGTGGAATTTTCCATATAGTTCGCAATCTATCCAGAATTGGTCTAAATGATGGGCCCTTACTAGTAGTTCACTGGACCAATTTGCAGCATTTTTAACATCAAAAGTGGAGGCCATCCGCCAGGAGCTCTCTCCTTTTCTGATCACAGTAGATCGAGCAGAGACATCCAGCACTCCGCCTTGCCCAGTGATCTCTTGATCTCTTTCAACCTGTGATGCCAGATATGGTGGACAAAGCACTTGATCACTGTCGGGCTACTACTTGACCCTTGCCCAGCCTGGCTAATCAAAGCAGCCAGGCCTACAACAACCAAATGGGCTACAACAGTAATTATGGGTCTACCTTTGAAATTGATGAGGAAGCTTCAAATGGTGCAGAATGCGGTGGCCAGACTTCTCAGTGGGATGACAAAATATCAGCGTATTTCCCCCATTCTGGCTGCCTTGCATTGGCTGCCTGTTCGTTTCTGTATTGATTTCAAAATGTTAATGATGTCATATAAAGCCCTAAATGGTTTAGGAAAAAACTATCTAGCGGACCGTCTCCTACTAGGCCACAGACCAGGGGTTGGGGACCCCTGCTATAGACTACAGAATCCTCCTGACTTGTCTCTTAATGGGACTTGGGAGCAATGTTTTACAGTGGCTCCAGTCCTTCCTGGAAGAGAGAACAGCCATCTGTCTGGCTCCCTCGCTGGGTGTTTTTAAGAACAGACTTTTAAGACCTGTCTCTTTAGGCAGGCTTTCCCTCCTGTCATCACTTGAATCCCCCCCATCTTGAACTATATCACGGGCAGGGTATAAATTTAATAAATAAATAAAATAAAATAAATGCTGACTCAAGACACTTACCTGAAGCAGTAAAGATTGTTCATCCTTTGTCTGATGTGTCTTTTCAGGCACACACACACACCCAGGACACTCTGTTTTGCTTTCTGCTGCATTTGCAATGTATTCTCCCAAATGGAAGCATCTAGTAACTTCATCATTTACTAGATGCTTTCCCAGGTTTCAGAGGATAACAATAGGTAGTGAGTATGTTAACCTCCTTATACTTTCTGGTCATCAGTTCCAAGAGCTTCAGGAGGAAAGGGGGAAACACTCAGACGCACTGATGCTCAACCAACAAGTGATTGCACAGCTGACCCAGTTGATCAACAAGTTGCAGCGTGAAAATGATAGTGTTAAAAAGCAGGTAAGAGAAAGCTGGAACCTGTGTCATTTCTTATTTGGGGCCCGACGATTGCACCAGTATTGTATCTAGTAATATAATTTTGGATTGCTTCCTTGCTCATATCAAGGGTGATGATTGTTTCTGGCAAGAAAGGTGAATTGTCATTTTGGGATCCCTTCTCTGGATCAGAGCACAGCATGGTCAAGGCCATCCCACCCTCTCACACACTGTTCACAGATATACAGGAATCATCCATTCAACCCCGTCCAACAAAACACACACACACACAAACACACACCATCCCCATCATTGACATGTTCTTCTTGGACCCCTTTGTTGGCTGAGCCATGCAGATCTGTTGGGGGAGGAGTCTCCCAACTGGGCAGGCTCTCCTTCTCATTATTAAACAACAACAATCAAAGAAAGATCTTAGATTTAGTTTCTTAGAGGAGCTAATTCCTAAACCTGGGGAGAGTGGGCAGGAACTGGGAAAGAAGCCAATAGGGTGAATGGCTAGAGAATCTCCAGGGATCATATCTGAACTATATTCTGGATGTATCCCATGTCTATATGAGATATAAAGGTCTTTCACTAGCACTACTGCTGCAGCATTGAAATGATTTTGTCCTTATGTGGTCAGTCCACATAAGTAACAGAATCTTGATCCATCCAAAACTCTTTTTCAGATGTTAACTGTGTAAGGACAGTGATTATAGCAAGCAGCAAGGATGGGGGTGGGGGTGGGGTGTAGGGCATAAATGTAAAGGTCCAAAGTAATGGCTAGGTACCTGAAATAGACTGTCAGAAAGCTTCAGAAACAGCACCTGTGGAACTAAAAGCCAAGAAAGAGAAATAGAGGTGAGGGGAAAGGAGTATTCTTACATTGTAGCTGCACTATAGGAGTGATTTAATTATTCTTGATTTTTGTTCAGGTTTTCATATTTTTCTTGCATTTTTTTTAACTGTGTGGATTGGGCTAGCAAGTCGTTTTATGGTTTTGATCCATTCCCTCTAATTGCAACATTTTCATCTCTGTTGTTCTCTTTCCTCATTTCTTTCTGTTGGGCTCTGTTCTCTTTCTGCTTCCTCTGTTACCCCCCCCACACACACACACACACCTTTGCACATTTCACGTTTAGCTAAAACCCTTAGCTCATCTGGAATTCACCACCACCACCTTTGCACATTTCACATTTAGCTAAAACCCTTAGCTCATCTGGAATGTCTTTTTCCTGTGGATGTAACGAAGGCTTGCTCAAATTTTTTTTTTCTTGTTGTCTCCACTTGAGGAGATGCCTCAGCTACTGTAGATATTTTCCACCTCTGTGAGATTCTTAATCTTCAGGGGAAGGGACACAAGAAGTGTAAAACTAGGGCCGTTTCTTTTGGAGGAGGAAAGCCCCCACATGGAGCAAGCAGCGAAGGACAAGTGGATTGTTTTTAAATGACACAAGCAATCCCCTCAGATGTTTCTAATCCTTTAAAAAATTCTGTTATAAAGCAGAGGTTTGTGCAGTTTGCATGACTTAGATTAAAGCAATATTTGTGTCCTGAAGGAAGGTTCATGCAATCTTGCTTACTTTGCATCAAAGAATTGTCCTCATCCTCATTCTCTTCTGGTTTTGAGAGGCCACAAAATATTTTGCCATCACATGGGGCCGGGAAAGATTCAGACTCCAAAAGCTGGGTTTGCCATTGGCTCATTCATCCTCTTCTTCCAAGCTGGATTTATGGACCTAAGGATTTCAACAGGAAAAAAAAGGCAAAAAATATATATCTTGTAGCACCTTAAAAACGAACTGCTATATTTTGATGTAAGCTTTTGTGGAACATTGCACACTTCTTCAGACATACGTCTTACAATACAGAGACAATGTGGTAAAGCTCCCAGCTAATGGGACAGTAGTGTTTGATTGTATTTCACACCTGGCAATGATTGATCATCAGAGATGGGCACACACCCCAAACTGGACATTCGTGTCGGTTCTTCCTCTGGCTGAACAGATCTTTAGCGGTTCCCAGCCCCGCCTCCTGTGGTGGGCACCCACTCAGGGGCAGTACCCCAGGTTCCCTGCCCTAGTTCCTCGGAGTGCTGCCTCTTCATGGGTGCCTGCTGGAGAAGGAGGGGCTGGGAACTGCCAAACACCTGTTCAGCCAAACCAGTACAAACCAATGAACTGGTGATTCATGCCCATCTCTATTTATGACCCGTCTTTGGCATTCAATTCCTTTGAAGCAACAACTCCACGACAACTTCAAAAACTGTCCTACCTAAGGACAGTCCATAAACAACCTCAGAGTGCATTTTAAAAAATGGTTTCTTTTTATTTGTGTCATTGTACAATCCAATTTCCTTGCTGACCATGAACCAATACCAGCTCTCCTTTAATCCAGATCCTTTTATTCATTCTTTGATGGGCTAGGTGAGTGCTTTGGAAACAGCCATTTGTGATGTAGAACAGCGTGGAGATAATTCTCTGAAAGACGCCCGGGAAAAGCACACGGATCTGCAAACTGCTCTGAAGAAGGCCAAAGATGACCTGGCTGGCATGCTAAAGGATTACCAGCTGGTCCTGAATTCCAAGGTGGCTCTTGATATTGAGATTGCTGCTTATAAGTCATTGCTGGAGGGAGAAGAGACCAGGTGAGTAAGAAACTCGCACACCAGTGGCACACAGAGACCTCACATATAACAGGATCATTTTAGTTTCCTCTGAAATTTATGCAAACCATTTAGAATAACTGTGGCTCTGATTACTGTATAGGCCGATTTTAGGTCTGAACAAAATTCACTGGCCATTCTCAAAATGTGTCCAAGTCTCCTGAAGATATTTCTGTTGGCATTGCTAAGATTCACTTAGCTTCCTCTTTAAAACCCTAGGTGATTCACATGAGCTGAAATCTCGAAATTCAAACTCCAAATTGGTTTTAAGTTGAATTCTCTGACAGCATTATATTTTGGCATGGCACAAAATGCTTGCTATGGCAGATTCTGATCCCGCCCCCATCGCTGCATTGACTAGAAATCATTTCCAGTGAAACATTCAGGTCTAACTCATTCTAAGTCTCAGGCTATTCCAGCTTTCCTTTCCCCTGTCATTAGCTGTTTATGATTACCCTTCCCATGGTTTTCTAAGTACAGAGTACTGTATTCCAAAATGGTTTATGATTCCCTCCTTCTTGGGTTGCCCTGGGACTGGGCAGTCAGCCTAAGTTCTACAGAGGCTGACTCTTTTCTTGGAGGCGCTGTGAGGAAGTGAACTCCCAGCCAGATGCCTTACTCACTGAGCTGTCCAGCCAGCCTTCCATTTCCTGTGCCCCACATAAATTAATGGGATCTCTTCAAGTTTAAGGAATATATTGCCCTGCAATTCCAGTTCATTACACGGGGGCTGCTCAGGAAAAGTGGATTTTGTATTCTGTCTCAAATTCCTAAGCGTAATCAAATGGTGATTATACTTCTCCATTTTTTCCCTGGCAACAGACTACACAAAGGAAATCCCATCAATGTAGGTAAGTAAGAATTGCTGTATTTCACTGGGTTGAGTTCTTCTAGTACATAATATAGTCCTGTTAAGTCAGCACAGGCAACTCTGGTGCGTCTGGAAGCCATCCCCCCCTGTACTTTCAGATGGAGTCAGGGGTGGTGGCCATGAGGAGATACACTAATTACCATAGTGCTTAAAAACTGCAGGAGAAAAAACCGAAGTGGCTACATGTCCACTGCCATCTTTGAGGAAAAAAAGGAAATTTGGGGAAGGGAGTATTGCCATTTTAAAGGGTCCCTCTGAAGATCCTGGAAGCTTCAAGAAGCTGCTGTCCACCCTTTTGTTTTGCCAGAGGGCCGAGAAGCCACAGAAACAGTTCCCATGGCAAGGCTTTGCACGCCCCTTCATTGAGCCCTAATCTGTTTCCCTTGGAGTTCCCACGCAGTCTTCTTGGGTTAGCACAGAGCTTTGAAAAGTTTCCAATGTTGATCTATTTGCAGTCAGTCTGGTCAAAGTCTATTTGAGCTGGGGGGTTTCCATGAGCTAGAAACTAGAGATGGACAGGAATTGAAAAAAGAATAAACCTGAGTAGTTTGTGGTTCATGATGACTACTTACAAACAACAAACCATGAAGCTTGAACCACCACTGAACCCTGGAAAAACAAACCAGTTAGTGCTTCGTTTTTCTAGTTCGTGTCTGGGAGGAAGAGAACCCAATGCCTCTACCCGCTCAACTGCTCACCTGCCCCCTTACTACAACTTCTATCATCTCTCTACCTGGTCCTGCCTCCCCCTCCTCCTCCAGTAACACCTTCTTCAGAGAAAGGAAGCCTGGTGTCCAGAAGGAAAGCTGGACCCCTGTCTCTGAAGATGGTGGAGGAGGAAGAGGAAGAGGAGGCAGCAGCAGGACCAGGTAGGGAGGCAATGGGGGCAGTGGGAAGGGGGTGGGCGACATCCATTTTGCCCAAGCAAGCAAGCAAACAAACAAAAATGAGCACAAAAAAGTTCAACACTTCATTTTGGCTTGCATGAACTAAACCACCAACCAGCCTGGTTCATGTTTTTCCCCCCAGTTTGTAGTTTGGTTTGTGTCCATATCTATTGTAGACCAAAAAAGTTGCTTTTTCAAGCCCTGCCCCCTCCCCACAAAAGTCAGCATAACCGCTCTTTTTCCAGGAGTCTCCCCTGTTTCTCCATGTTCCCGGCTGCCTCATTCCACTCCCATAGTTTCCTGGCTGGCTCGATGTCTTCTGCTTATACCTAGCCAGCAACCTGGGAGAAAGGCAGCATACAAGGGCAATAAAGAAATCAACAGAATGAAAGCAGGGTTTTATGTGTGCACTCCAGGCGGTGAATTCCCACATCATCCACGTTACCTAGGCTGAAATCCAGTAATAAGTCGCAACCAGAATAGACCCGTTGCATCAGTGGAGATTTGGTGAATCACCTCCTCCATAAGCTTTACTGATTCAATGGGACTACTCTGGTTGTTACTAATAACTAGATTTCAGCCAGTGTTACTGTAAAAAGGTAAATAAGTTATTATTAATAAAATATAATAGGATCATCCAAAATTTGTTCTGTGGGTGTGAGTCTGTGATATCTCTTTATATCAGGTGGGATTTCTTAAAAGTAATTTAATCCAACCATTCCACTTCAGGTGGTTCTAAGAGGGTTCAAAGCACCCCACCCATCCCCCTTCCCCTCCTCTCTTTTACTCACTCGCACACACACAAACACTCACAATTGTTGAATGTATTTCTCATCCTGTACCATCCGGCATCTCAGCCACAACACAGGTGGGAAATCAGGCATTGGTGTGGCTCTGAAATGAAACGATTCTGTCTTCTCTTTGCAGATGTGGTCAAACCCTTCCACCTGAGCAGCTCAGAGGGTTACAATCCTATGGGTATAGGGTACAATTCAGGATATGGTGGATGGGCCCAGAGAAGTTACAACAGGAGCTACAGTTCCAGAAGTGTTGGAGAGCCCTCGAGGACCAAGGACAGCAGCCACAACCTGACTCCAGGAGTTTGCTCTGCAGATGCAGAATTCCACCCTGGAGCAGTCCCCTACTCCAGGAGCTGTTATGTTGGTAACCATAGCATTGACAGTTCCTGTCAAACTGGAGGAGTTCGGGTGGGAAGAGGCACCAACCAAGGTCTGGGATTCGGCTCAGGAATTGTGCATGGATCCATCCAGAATGTAGGCAGTGGGAAAATCTCTGGAGGTATAGCAGAAACGTGTCCCGGTGGAGGCTACCTCTCTGGGGGTTACAGACCAGTAGATGTTCACCCATTTGGGGATGGAGGGATGGGCCCTAGAGTTGTCAGTGGCCCCATAGTTGTGGGCTGCCACCCTGGATTTGGAATTGGAAATATTGGTGGACCGTGTTTTGGCATCCCAGCTGCAGGAGGTTTTGGGGTTTCAGGAGGGATGCCTTGTGTAGGAGCAGGTGGTCCTCTCGATGTGTGTTATCCTGGAGCAGTACAAGCTCCTGTGGGTGTCTGTTACCCTGGACAAGTAGGTGATATTTGCTTCACTGGAGGAGTAGCACCTCTGTAAGTAGCTGCTACTCCTCTGGAAGCAGGAGAGGCCCCTTAAGAAACCCCACAGTTTAAAAAATCTTTGTAAAACTTCCCATTTTGGAAAGAAATTCATTCTCAATTTCTTAGCCGCAGCAATCAGAACTCCTACTAGCATTGAGGGTGTGAAACATTGATCATGAAATATTTTTAGCAACATGCCTGCATATCTTGGTTCATCTAAATTTTTAGTGCCTTTCAGTGCATGGAAATTTTCCTGTCCTTTAAGAGAAATGTCTACTGCTGAATCAGACATGCTTCCTCCACTAATTTGGCACTGGCAGCTTCATGAAACATATTCTTGGAATTGGTAATTTAAAACAAAAGAAAAGTAAAGTAAAAACACCTCCCCTCCCTCAAACATCTCATACAAGGGGTGCCAATGTCCTCTAGTTTTTATTTTAATTCAGAGAGCTGTAAAAAAAGGAAACTTAGCCTTTCTTTACAATGCTTAGAATTGATTTGTTGTTATGTGCTTCTGACTGACTGTACCCCTTAACAGAGATTTCAAGATATGTGAGATCTTCCACTTGTGGCTTACCATGGGCATTCCTTGGGAGGTTTCTATGGATGAGCAGGAATATGATGCTAAGTCTCCTGAGTTCTGATCCGGCATCCGCCCCATTACGCCCCATTGACTTTAAGTCAGATAGAACCATAACTGATTTTTATCCCGCTTTTACATTAGTGTTTCATGATTTGGGATGGACAAATCTTTTGTTTTGTTGTACTCGTACTTTGTCAATCCCAAGCTGTTCCATTCTGGGAAAAAGGGGCGATTTTGTTAAGTTCCTGTTTTAAACAAAAATAACCAATTCCATCTCAGCCCACCCAGAAGTTTTCAGCCATCTCTCAGTGTGGGACTAAACGAATTGTACTAGCCTACAACGGATCTGTTACAGATGAGATTTTCAGCCATCTCTCAGTGTGGAAATAAACGAATTGTACTAGCCTACAATGGAACTGTTACAGATGAGAAG